GGCTACAGCCACGTCGGCCTTAGCCGCATCGAGATGTGCGAAGCCTACATTCTTCAAGAGTCTATGCCCTGTCATGGAGATTTTTTGCCAGTTTTGCAGGTACCTTGCCCACCTCCGACAGGTGGCCAACCAGCTCGATTTCTTTTCAAAGTTATACCTCGCCATGTAAGTAGAGCTGGACGAACCGTTTTGCGAGGCGCAGAGAGAAGTCTTCGATGCCGAGTTTCAGCGAGTGTCGCATGCCAAGGCGTGATGGCACAGGTTCTGGCTGTTGCGCTTGCAATCGCGGGCGGCGAGCCATGGAGAACAGCAAAAACAACTGCTGCTCCAGCAACCCCCAAGCACTACTACTCATCTTGAGTTTCAACGTCCTCGGTAGCAGGAATCGTAGAGGCCTCGAAGTATGAACCAAAAGAGCCGCGAATTGTAAACTAGGAGTCGTCTAAAGTCTGAAGATGGTTTCATAGCTGACATCTGGACAGACCTGGACCTTGAATCCTGGTCTTCTGCTAGGCTCCAGCCCCTCCATCTCGTCCAGCTCCGATGTGCACGCCCGTGACCCTGACAAACGGCCAGCCTCTGAGTGCTGCGCGTGGAGTTGGAGACTTCAACTTTTGGGGTTTAGCATTTTTCGGGTCCGAGAGGTCCGCGGGGTGGAGTAGCATCTTTTCTGAAACATGTTGAAGGCCCGTATTAATTTCTCAATTCACGGGGTTGTGTGCCCTCTGCACGGCCATCCCTTTTGTTAGCAGTGATGGTCCTGCATTGGCCCGCGTGCACATGAAGGGACTCTTCGTCGGACCTAGATGTTGGATCTCACGTTAGTTCCGTTCCAGGATCTATGGGCATGGATACTCACATCTAACCTGGCACAGCCCTTCAAAAGCATGCGCCCAGATCCTCCACCCAGCTCAGGCAATCATAGTGCCGAAGACGCTTCTGATGCAGAGGTGTTCTCGCCCTTGCTCTGTTTTGCAGAAGATGGGGTTTGAGCACCTACGAGAGATTGGATGCTCATCATGAGTATTGGATGCGGAATCGACGGTTGCTCCAGTGGAATTTCAGAGTATATGCTGTAGTGAGTTCTATAGCAATCAACAGGTGTGATGGTTGCCTGTCCTCCAAGATCCTTTAAGCCACATTTGCAGTTCCTGGAGAGTCTCCTGTGCAACAGCGCGTGGGTTCCAGGATCGAACGGGTAGCAACAGGAAAGCCTGAGCCGCGGGATCTGACGTGAGGAGTCTGATGCAGAGAGCATGGAAGAGTTCTTCTGCCAGTTCTGCGGCCGAGAGGATGTGCTCAATTGTAGTCTTGAAGTCGTGATGTCAAGCTGTCGGATTCCCTCAGTGGTGTCAATTCCAAGTGGCAAAGGGAACGATGTATCTATAACCCCATGGGCTGTGACGGGTTCACACAATTACCCAAAGCATGGTGATGCTGAATTGCCAGGCAAGTGAAGCTAGACAGTCCTTCGGGCACATTGACGAAAGGATCCCAACTTCACTCTGGCTGCATTGGACATCCACTACTGGCGGGAGTGTCCCATGTTGACTGCCTGCAAACTGTGCGAGCAGGCTGGTTGGTAGTGGCTGGTATCTTGAAATGTGGAGCGAGCTCAGCTGTAGTCCTGCCAATGCTGCTTAGCAGGTGATCGAGATCTCGAGAATGCACTGGCACTTAATGGAGGCCAGGCCGAGCTGCGGCAGAACGGGCTGGTTGGAAAGCTCTGCAGGAGTGTGAAGCTGGTGAAGCGGCGGTGGCGCAAGCTCGTCGCTTCAGTCCAGAGAGGCCCCACGCATTTCAGAAACACACATAGGAATCTGCTACTATACGGATCACAAAGTCCTGTGGAACGTTGGGGTCGGCCTTGAAACTGCAGCCCAAGCACGTCGACCGAGGTGCCCGCTTTGCTTCACCAGGGTCTGTCCCACGGGTTCTACTCCTGACGAGCGGGATTGGCGCGAGCCCGAGTTTGGACCTGTTCGTGATCCGATGCAGCTGCGGCAAATGTCGGGTCGATTCATCATTGCCGGTGTCTCTGTGACAGTTGAAAAAACGGCATCACTTCTGGATCTCAGCAACATTGTCACTGCAGCTGCGCCTGAGGCAGGAGCACCTGCTCGTGATGGGCTGCCCTTCGAATCCTCGTGGCCAAGTGCATTGAGCTAGTTTGGCCAGCGGCACCTGAACAGAGCTGAGCTACATGGCTCGCAGACGATGCTGACGTTCGCGTCCTGCCATCTGTAGATTGCACATGTTTGCACGCTGTAAAGCAGCGGGGAAACAGCTCCTGAGTGCTCCGGGAAACCCAGCCTGCTGGGATCGCGAATCCTGGCAGAGTCGGTGCAGCTCCAGTGTGGCAATGACGTATGTTTTCAAAACAGCGGCTATACTGAGGGGTGGGTAATGCTACTACTTGTGTCAGATCATGTCAGTGGTTTGATGGTGTCGTAGCTTTCGAGTTGCAAGGCTGCCAGGCTGCATGAATCTGAGACGGGGTCTTCTCAGCAACAGCCTGCAGCGAAAATCCGTGGCCAGCTCCAGATGTCTTGCAGTGTGCATGCTTGCTGCTCGCCTGGCATGCATCCAGATCTTGCGGCATCTCTGAGGCAGCTGTGGTGGAGTCCGGAGATGCTACATGGTCCCTGGTTTGGGGTTCGGGCGTTTAGGGACCCTGAACACTCTGCCCTGGCGCCCGGTGCAGGTCCACTCCGGTCTTCGCTGCCTTCAACCGTCTTTGGAGTCTGCCAGGGCATGTCTTGCTGCTGTCCTTTCGAAGAGCTGTGGATGCCTTGCATTTTGGTCATACATCGGGAAATCACACCTCAGACTGTGTTTGACGATCGCGCTGAAGCAGAAGTCGGTTGCTGAAAGATCAGCTGCATCTAGATGAAGCACGTATCTTCTTGCATGCGAGAAAGAGGACTTAGAGCTTTAAACAACGTCCTCTCTTGGTTAATGATCTTGCGTTTATTTCTTGCAGTTTCCCGTGGAGGCTTGATTGCAATCATGACAAATGATCACCGACAAACATTGTTATGGTTACTACTGTGTGCTTTTGTCGTGGTTATGCCCTTTGCCTCGTTGCCCGTGCTCATGCGGTCATCTTGGCACCTATGACTCAGGTCGCTCTAACTCTCACCCCGACGCCCTGTGCTGTTCATTATGTTTTTCGTCTCTATGCTGCAATTTGTAGTTCGTGTCACGCTGACTGGTTCATGCAGTCGGCTGTTTCATGTCTGAGCACCGTTCCGAAGCCTTGTAGGATCCGTCGGCTTGAGTGATTGACAGGGAGAGCACTGCTGCACGGTACAACGCATTAGCACCACATAGCGGAACTACCGTCCCCGTCTGAATTGAACTGTGTGAGCATGTCCTGCAGATCAAAACGATCGAACAGATTTGAACAGCAGCTTAAACGTCGAGTGAGCATTTCTTCAATCCTAGGCCGGACAGACTTATACCTCAACAGGCAAAAGGGAGAATCACCAACTGCAGGCCTGTGTGTCAAACAGGAATGCTCACAAGGCATAGTATATGCGCTGATGGTACATGGAGCATCTGCACGATCTGCCCAGTACCTGCTCGCAGACTTCACTTTTCAGACACCTGCTGCTATTTTTTGCCAAGAGCTTGCGAGCCACTCAAGGGAAAGGACAACTGGGATAACACCATGCTTGACGAGTATGCGATTCGCCTAGCATGTAGTGGAGATGCTGTTGGCTGTTTTTAAGTCTTCTGTTGTGTGCTGGGTTTCTCGAAACTTAACTGCCGCTATTTCATGACAAGGGGACGCTGAAATGATCTGAATCTGAGTTTCTACGACGTGACGACTGAAACGAAAGCTGATGCCTGATTGCCGAAACGAGCAGCTTTCGTGTACCGCATCGTTCTTAGGTTGTAGTCACATTGCAACTGCAAGTTTTGCGATGAGTGTCACGAGGGGCTGTCGCTCATGCCGGGCTTAGAATCGTGCATTAGGCTCCCGTGATGATGCCCGTGGTGGTTGGCAGTCGGGATTGCAATCTCCTGGCAGGCATTCGCTTGGGAAGGCACAGTGCCACAGCAACTTCTCTGTGCCCCAGGGGACGCTCTTAAGGTCCAGCTTGATGGTCATTTTGCTTGGGGGTAGGTGTTCTCTAAACCATTTGTAACAATGGTTCCGTCCTCGAGAGTAAGGGGTTTTCGTGCAGAGTACTGTTCCCGCGAGGCATCCCTGGCAAGCGTGCACCGCGTCAGGTTTTTGTGGCTTGATGAATCATGCCACCATTTTGGGTGGAAACAATCAGTGTTCCCGCTTGGAATCGCTCGAAGTCGCTAATCCAAGCCCTGGCAGAATGCAGTTCGGCTCCTCAGGGCTGGTCTTTCAAGGTCTCGAAATCGCCGTTCGAAAGATTTTAATATATATTTCCCAGTTGCAGCAATCTGGCTCCAGCGCATTCTGGGGTTTGCGCCTCTTTCTGGCATCATATCATAAGTCCTGGAGTGCAGCTGTGTCCGATGTCTTCCGTAGTCGGTACTAGCCGCCTTCAAGACCTGTCCAATTTGTTGTGCTGTTGTGCCGGTTCGAGAGGTGGATCGATCAGGGATTACGGGGCTATTGGAGGCTCAGGTTGGAACGCGACACCTCGGGGTAAGAGCTTGAGACTTTTGAGTTGGCAGGTACTTCTGCATCTTTCCTCATGGTCATACTGACCGCCTGAGGCTCCGCATGGGCTGAGCTGCTGGACCTGCGTAGGTGTTGGGGACGCGATCGTTTGCGCATGCTGCCTTGAGAGGTGTTGGTTCCTCTTTGCGAAGCCTCCGGGCAGAGGCTACAAGGACACCTCTGAAACCCTTCGCTAGCACTTTGCAGCAGTGCATGGTATAGAGCATAGAAAGCCTTGCTTGCTCGAGGCTTTTGAGGGGGAAGACGTGCACGGTCGTGTGCAGTATGAACTGCCAACGGTCCTTCCCGAGCATTTTTTTCCAAGAGCCAATGCCCGCACCTCCCCGACCCACACTGCCATGAATTGAAATCCACCTGCCTGCAAGTGCCGAGCCTGTGTCTCACAAGTAGCATTCCTTCCACTCGTAGTTGTCGCTCCTGCACTGTTCGCAGTAGTCGCAGTCGTAGCAGTAGTGGCAGTAGTGGCAGTAATAACAGGAGCAGTAGGAGAAGTAGTAACAGTAGTTTCAGTAGCAGTTCTAGTGGCCGTGTTTGCAGCGCTGGTAATATCACTGACTAGAATCAGTTGCAGCAGAAGCAGAAGCAAAAGCACCAGCAATCGTAGTCGCAGTCGCTGTGAAAGTAGTGGTAGTAGTGATCGTAGTGGTAGTAGCAGTCGTAGCGGTAGTCGTGGTAGTAGATGTCGAGGTGGTGGTAGTGGGAGTGTGGTATCGAAAGAGTCGCAGTCGCAGTCGGAGTCACGGTCGCAGTAGTAGCAGTCGTCGTCGTAGTAATAGTAACAGTTGCAGTGGTAGTAGTTTTAGTAGTTTTTCTAGTAGTAGTAGTAGTAGTAGTAGTAGTAGTAGTAGTAGTAGTAGTAGTAGTAGTAGTAGTCGTGGTGGTGGTGGTAGTAGTAGTAGGAGGAGTAGAAGGAGTAGGAGGAGTAGGAGGAGCAGGAGCAGGAGTGGCAGTAGGAGTAGGAGGAGAGTAGGAGTTGCAGTAGGAGTAGAAGTAGAGTAGCAGCAGGAGCAAGACTAGCAGTTGTTGTTGTTGTTGCTGCTGCTGTTGCTGTTGCTGCCGCTGCTGTTAGTGTTGTTGTTGGTTGTTGGTACTTGGTTGTTGGCTGTTGGTTGTTTGTAGTTGATTTTTGGTTCGTGGTTGTTGTCGTTGTCATCGCCGGTGTCGTCGGCATCATTGCCGTCATCGTTGTCGATGTTTGCGGGTTTTGCTTTCTGCTAATTTCACGGGCGAAGATGCTTGCTCCAAAGGAGTGGCCTGTCGTCGACTGGCCGCCGGAGCTGGCTGGCCATCCTTGGGGGTATGGCACTTGGCTAGCAAACTTCGGCATCTGCAAGGCTTTGCCGGGGGATGTTTAGTTTAGGATTGTCGTCGGGGCTTTTGCGGAGCCAACTGCCATTCCTCTCACTCGGCTTGCTTCCGGTCGAGGCCTTGTGTGCCGCTGGAGGAAGTGGAAGAGTACAAACAGGACTGCTGCATTTCGAGGAAACATGCTTGAACCCAGAATCACGCTTTTGATCTATTTTGCAAGGTGCTCTCTTTCTAGGGTTTGCAAGATGCCGTGTTAAGCGACAAATCAAGCTTGGTGCCGCGAGGCCGATGGCTCCATCTGCCTACTTGTCCACGCAACTGGTTTGGAGGACTTGGGGCCTGTGTACTACAGCGCAGGAAGATTTTTTTGGATATCATCAATCGTAACAGCGAGTCAGAACATGATGCGTGTTGCCGTTGTCATCACATCGGTGCAGAGCCTGGTTTTCACGGTGCAAAAGCACTCAAGCGCCCAAGTCTTCGTGCCTGTGACTGATCCATCCAGGAGAATCGGTGAGGAATCCGGGATTTGTCGATCTGCACAGCAGAAATCACAGAGACCGGAGCTGTTCGGCCACAAGAGCTGGGGGAACAAGGCTTGCAGAGAGCTGATGCACGTGGCCGTTGGCAGTTTGCTGGGGGGCTCGGCCGCTTCTTGTGCTTCAGGTCGACGGGTTTTCGGGTGGTTCGGTGGCGATTGTATGAAGTGGGTGCAGGCCTTGCATCTCCCAGAAGGCTTCAAGTTCCTGGCCTCAAGCCCAAACCACCACCACCACTACACTCTACACCAACACTTCAACCGGAAATTCTGTGGGCTTTTGAAATCGGCACCGCGAATAAGGACCAAGTCGGGCACACAGACCATCCCATTTGTCTCCGCTTTGTCCAGGCTCTAGCCGTTCATGTACTGTCCGATGTGTCAAACGAGAAGGTGCCAACCCGAAAGTCACGAAGGCATTGACCAACAGAAGCATCAATGCGGCTCCCTTGGTGATACGTTTAGCCCCGGCCCACCTCAACACACACACACACACACACTTACCGTGATGTCGTGCTTAGCCTGATGGTTTGCCGCGCTGCAATGAAGCCCGGGGTGTGCTCCTGAGCTGCTTTCCCACGGCTTCTTTGCTCAAACTTTGGGCCGTATGGCGTTGCTGAGCTGAGGCCTGCGAAGGCGAATGGGAGGC